AACGAGAAACAAGGAATATGAAACCTGTAACCACCACGCTTTCGCTGGGGTGTATCCGGTGAAACCCACGATCCGGATACGAGCCGCCAATCAGACGCGACAACGACCGCAACCGCGCATGCGATTGGGTGCCGCTTCACGGCCATCTTGGCCGGCCATCTTCAAGCGCGCCGCGTCGGTTGTGTCGAAAGGGTCGACTATTTTCGGAAAAGTGGAGCGTCTTTTCGAGGAGAAAGCCGCGATCTGCCGGTCGTATGGTGACCGGCAAAAGGGCAGAGAGACAAGCATTGGCGAGCACGACCAAGGATTGTTCAAGGGTAACGCCAAGCGCATGCTGGGAACGCGCCGACGGCAGGACGAGCACACAAACATCGTTTTCCCAACAACGAGGTACAGAGGCCTCGTGCGTCCCGACAGGATCTTTTCGATATTGCCGTCAATCGTCGCGCCGGTGGCGCAGGATTTGATTTGAGATTGAGATTGGGCATGACGATCTTTTGGGTCATCCGGATACGATTATTGTATCCGGTATCGTGACGGGGCAAAGTGCAATTTGGCGACGAAACATGCCCCGCACGACCAACAACAATGGCGAGCTCACGTTCGAGTACGTGGCCGTGACGGGCGAGACGTTGGCGACGCACGAGTATGCAGCGTACCCGCTCAAGTTCCTTCGCCCCACGAGCTCCATTGCACCCGGCTTTCACACCAGCGTCATCGTACGCACTCGACACACTCGTGAGCCAACGCCTCTGTGATGTCTTCTAGTGCATTTTGGGCTACGGCGGCGGCCTCGTTTCGCGCGACCACACCAAGATTGTCGTTGACGCGGGCGACTCGACGTCCGGTACCGCGTGTCTCCTGTGCGCTTCGTGACAATGGCACTACTAGTGGTGCTCTGTACGCAGGCAACAACGAAAGTCTTCAAGTGCATTCCAGACCCGGCGCGCGCCGACGACCGCACCAAACAAGATTTGCACGTGTCTGTGCGTGCGAACGCTACGTTCTTGCTCTTGCCCGACCCCGTCACGTGCTACGCCAACGCCAAGTATTGCCAGCGCCAGACCTTTAACGTCGATCCGACCGCGACCTTGGTGGTCCTGGACTGGCTCACGAGCGGCCGCCTGGCGCGCGGCGAGCACTGGGCCTTTGACACGTACGAGAGCTGCAATGAGATTTACATCACGCACGCAAACGGTCCCTCGACGCCGCTTGTCGTGGACCGCTTGCGCCTGCGCCAAGACGAGACGATTCCGCTGCGGACGCGCATGGGCGGCATGCACGTCATGGGCACACTTGTGCTCTGCGGGCCGCGCGTGATGGCGCTCGTCGCGCAGCTTCTGACGGATGGCGCGCGCAAGCAGCTCGCGCCGCACCAGGCGCCCGTGCCTTCGGGTCGGTTGGCGCAAAGCTCTCTCTCGGACGTGCGTTCTGCCGTCAGTCCCTTGGGCCCCAACGGCGCGATCCTGCGCTTTGGCGCCCACTCGACCGACGCCGCGTACGCGTACATCAAGGACATTTTGGCGCCGCTCCGCGACGTCGTGGGCTATACATGCTTTCAGGAAAATCGCTAAATCAAACGCTATATTATGGACCCGTCCGATCGAGGTATTTGTCGATACTTTGGCGAGGGGCGTATTAGTGGAGAGGCAGCTCAGACGTCGTAGGACTGGACGGCGTCGTTCTTCAGCGTGATGACGGTGCGTGCGTCTACACACAGTGGATATAGAGACGACGCGTAGAGACACCTAGAATACGGACGGGCTTGGTCGGTGGGCGCGTCCGACGTCGGGTGCACCGAGACGGTCCGGACAGGCGGGCTCTCGTCAACTACACCACAGTTGTCGTATGTCCCACCACTTTTAACCCGTTCTACCTCGGGGCTCGTTGGGCGACCGCCCGATTTGAACGCGCAGCGGCTGCTGGCGCAGATTGGTACCGTTGAGCGCCAAGGCCGCCGTGACGCTCTCGGCGTCCTGGTACGTGATGAAGGCGTGTCGACGCCCTGCGTCGAGCTCAATGCTTTCGATCGTGCCAAAGCGCAGGAAGAGCGAGCGGAGGTCGTTCTGGCTGGCCGCGGCCGCGAGGCCGCCGACGTAGACGCGGCGGGAACGCTGCTGGCGCTTGCGTGGCGCGTCGACCACATCCGGTTGCTTGCGCTTCAAGTTGGGTGCGACGTCGGTGACGCGCGCCTTCTCCGGCTGCACGACGATGCGCCGGCCGCCGACGAGCGTGTTGTTGAGCTCACACGCGCGGTACACTTCGGCCGGCGACCCAAAAGAGACAAAGGCAAAGCCTTCGTGAATCCGAATCGAGAGGATGCGCCCGCTCGACTTGAAGAGGTCGCGGAGAATGCGATCGGTCACGTTGAGGTCGAGGCGACCGACGTACGCGCGGCGAGGGTTGGCCGGCGCGTTGGCGGGCAATTTGGGCGGACGCGACGACGGCACGTGGCGAGGTGTCTCGAGCAGAGCTGCCGGCGAGTTGTGCCGCGGAGACTCGAGCGGGCCGGCGAGCAAGGACTGCCGCGACGAGGGGGCAGCGTCAGAGGACGAGGACCGGGGGGTGGGTGGCAACAAACTCGTTGTTGCTGTAATCTGCCGGGGCGTATCCAAGAGACCGGAAGGCGACGCAGATGAGGACACCCGGGGTGTCTCGAGGAGGCCCGTCGAGGTCGAGTATCGAGGGGTGTCGAGGAGGCCAGGGCTAGCGGACGAGGCAGCGCGAGGTGCTTCGTTCACCGCCGGGGAGGGCCGGAGGGCAGCGTTTGAGGAAGGTGGAGCCGGTCGTCCCTGCTGGACGGCAGGTAGGGAGAGAGGTGCGGGTGGTCTACTTTGGGGCGGAGCCACGACGCGGAGAGGGTGTTGTGGCCCCGTGGGGGCCGAGGTTTGAGCGGGTTCGGTTGCCGTCGTCGTTGTCGTGTTGCTGGTTTTGTTCTCGTCAGTGGACTGAGGCAAGAGGTCTTCCATCCACACCACCTTGGATGCAAACTGTTGAATATCGGCGACGACCGACGCGCGGTAGCCTACGTCGTCGTTTCAGCGCTTGACACGTCATCGGGCCCCTTATGCATGTCGCACCGACGATCCAGAGTTCCTTTCGGCGAATGTTGCGCACATGGTCCAGCGTATCGTAAAAGTCGCCGTCGCCTACCGTCACAGCACATTCCGCCATTGGCTATAGCCCCTCCAACTCATATATCGCACCAGCAAACAGCACGACGCGGTCGGCCATCTACAATTGCGTCACCACCGGCCGAAGAGAACGCTGGACGTACGTCTTCGTACGTCAGTGACAGCATCTTGGTCGCAAGCCTATATCGCAGTCGCGTGCGTCGCCGTACCGCAACGATTGGCCACGAACCCGTTTCCGACGCCTTTCTGGACTTGATGGGAAACGCCATTGCCGCAGCTCGGGCAAAAGCACTTGCACTCCTTCGTCGGATACAACCGGACTTGAAACTAGCGAGTTCGTTCTCAAAAGAAGCGAGCGATCGTCGAGCGAGGCGACTACCTGCGGGCCCAGCGGCGGCGCGAGCTTGAGCGACGAGGCAAACGCGCTCTGGCTCGGATGCGGGCTCTTGGGGTTGTCCATGCGCTCGTTGTCGTAGTACCAGCACTCTGCAAGGTGAATCCATCGGTACCATAGCCCGACGATGGGCGTACCGCTAAACTCGCCGCCGACAAGAGTCTCGAGCGCAGCTCGGAGCTGCTTAAAGTCCAACGGGCCGCCCACCTAGATAGCGTTGAGACCACGGGTGGCGGTGTTGTTGTCGTTCTACAAGGGCTCGGGCGCCGCTGGCGGCGTAGCTTCCATCTACCAGAGGCAAGGGTCAGGCCATGGCCCACGCGACGGTGGCTACCGATGAAGAGCACGTTGCGGAAGGGCTTGGCCATTGTCGGAAGCGCTGTGCCAGACGCAGCCAATGAAAGAAGCTCCGTGACGTTGATTGGTTGAAATCACGGCCTTGCAAAAAGCGCCCGCGCTGTGGATTGGTTGGAATGGTACTATATCAGCCAATGGTCGCGTCGCAAAGGTCAAGTTCCCGCCCCAATTCCAAGCCAGGGCAATCGATTTCCTTGCTACAGCAACAACCGACGCGTCCTACTGCAACATGATGTCGAAAGCACTAGGGTGTAGGGTCCATTTATTTTAAAGAGCAGAGCTCGCCGGGAGAGCTTGTCGCCACTACGCCTGTTGTTGGCCTAGCTAAAAATCGCTGTCGTCGTCCGTGTCTTGGTCGTCAGCGTCGTCGTCGTCCGAGACGCAGAGGTTTATGACTTCGTGGTTCAGTGTGTTCCACCCACTTCTCGATGGCGGCGCATCTACGGCACATTTAAGCGCCGCGTTACTATCGTGCCACGTACGAGACGGCGCGGATGGATCGTCGCCGACTGTATCAACCAAGTCGACAATGTGGTCTGGTGTCTCGTGAATAGCCCCTACACAAGGAGACTATTGTCGAGAGAGCGTCGAAACCAGTAAAGGAGCACCTGTCTTTTGCCTCGCGCGCGACGGGGCTTTTGGAAGCTTGGCGGTCTCGACGCGGAGCACGAGGTCGTGGCGGCGCGACCCGTTGAGGACCTTGGCCATGGCCACGCTGGCTTCGTCTTGAAACGTAATGTAGCACGACCGCGCTGGAGACTGACCGCTTTCTAGCTGCACGTCGTCGATCGCGCCAAATGGGCCGAAGAGCGCACGCACGTCGCGCTCCGTGGTTCCGGGCACGAGGCCGTGCACGCTGACGCGGCTGGTCATTGTTTTCGTCGCTTTCTTCTTTTGCTTTTTGCGTTGAAGAGCCGAGGGCTCGACCGGATGCGGGCGCTTGGCCACGGCGCGCGACGCTTCGGCCGTCTCGGACGCGCGTTGTTTCCTTTTGATCGCTCGTGGTTGACCACGATCCGTCTATCCAGTAGTATCGTGCCGTTGAGCTCGCACGCAAGGTCGGCGGCATCCGTGGTCGGAAAATCGATAAAGCAAAACCCGCGGTCAGCATGCAGCCGCATCGAAAGCATCGGGCCGCAGTACTCGAACGCCTCCAGCAAGATGGCTTCGGTCGTGGCACCTGGTAGCTTCCCAACGTGCACGGTGTGGGGCGTCACCGGAGGCACCGGGGCGCCACGGGGTGATGGTGCGCCGCGGCGTGCCGTCGGGGCTGCTGCGGCGAGCGTGATGTTCGGGAGACTTTCCATCCAGACAACCTTGGATGCGAGCTGCTGGAGGTCGGCCGAGACTGAGTCGCGGTACCCTACAAGTCGCATGCGGCACTCCACCGTCGAATCAAGCATGTACCGACGACCCAGAGGTCTTTTCGGCGAACGTTCTTGACCAAGTCGAGGGTGTCATAAAAGTCCCCATCCCCTAGCAGAAAGGTTGTGGTGCAATGCTTTCTCATGGCGTCTACCTGCAAAGAGAACGATACGGTCGGCCATCTACGCAGCTGTCAATCCTCCGCGTCAATATGACGTCGACCTACGTCTTCGTAGGCCAGCGAGAGCATCTTGGTCGCAAGCCTACGTGGCAGGGTCCGCACGTGTCGACGAGCGAACGAGGAGGCCCACCCGTTGTCAACGCCCTTCTGCACGTGCTGCGTGAAGTTGTGGCCGCAGCTCGGGCAGTGGCACTTGTACTTTTTCATTGCGTACATTTTGACTTGAAACTAACGCAAGTTGGGCCTCGGCCAAAGCAGCGCCGCCGTACAACCTGCGGGCCGAGAGGCGGTGCGAGCTTGAGCGCCGAGATGAACGGATTCTGGCTCTGGTACGCGCTCTTGGAGCTAATCGGCTCGTGGTCAAAGTACCAGCACTCTAGAGCGTCGTGAGCACAAAGTGCAGCTTCGTCGAGGAGGCACCGCTGAACTCGGCGCCGACCAAGGCCTCGAGCTCGCTTCGCAGGAGCTTAAAGTCGATCTTGCCGCCGGCCTAATCCAGCCGCCGTGAGGCCGACTATTAGTATGCGATAGCACGGTCGTCGCCGTACGAGGCCTCGGGCGCCGATCGAAGCGTACTGTCCGTCTAACGAGAAGATGGTACCGCGCGCCAAGGAGGCGCCTACCGATGATGAGCACGTTGCGGGAGGCGCCGGTCGTCGATGCTGCCAGCCGCGCGATGGGCCGCGCGCTCGTAGTATCGGTCATGGCCAGGTCTGCTGTGAGCGTAGTGTATTTGGATTGGCCAAAACGCCGCACATAAATCCAGTTTCATGGCGCTTATTGGACCATTTAAACGGAATTTAGCCAATCCGACGGCCAACCAACACGGGAGCAAACCGTGCCGTTGGCGCCACTTGGTCGTAGCGCACATACAAGGACATGATTTCCATGACGTGGCACCAGCTCCGAGCTCCGATCTCTGAGCTCCGGACTCCGATACGTTGATACCCAGTCGACATCGTCCGATTCTGTGCATCGGCGTGTCAAAACGACCGTGTCTGGTAGCGTCTTACAGCTCTTGCAAACGGGCGCCATACCCCAGGGTGGTCAACTACATGGGCGGTGAGACTCGTGCGCCTCATATCGTCAGCTGTTCGTGTTTACCAGCACCACCGCCAAACGTGAATAGCAAGCGGATTTGGTGGTACCCATGGAGGCCAAAGGAGGAAGCTGTGTGACACGGTGGTGCTTTCGACAGGCCATTATCAGCGATACGACCGCATTGCGGTCTCCAGAGTAAACAACTCGGGTTGTGGCCACCTCGTCCTCGAGTTTCGCCATTCGGACCGAGAGCTGGGATGGCGAGAACACATCGTCGATAGCATGGGTATATTGACGCAATGACGTCGTTCAAGGTTACTGCGAGCTTACTTGTGGCCGGTGGCGCTCAGGTGCTTTGAGAGCCGAGTGCGTACGTGTGCCCCAATGCCTTGCAGCACGTTCACGAACGCCGGGTCGCGCAAAACAATCCAAACAAAGTACACGAGCATGGGGACGTACAAGGCCAGTTGCAGCCACGACAAGACCGAGATCGCGTCGTCAAGAAACGTCGAATCCAGAGGCTCCTTGATCGTATTCTGGCTGTGCGTGGCCACGGCCGTGGGTAATAGCAGCACGAATTGCGCGCCGTGCACTCGTCGCATCGTCGTCGCTCGTCCAGTTGCGAGATCCGTAGGCGTCGTTGCAATGTAACGCCTTCGCCTGTACGAGGTAGTGGATTGAAGAAACTTGGCTCTCCAACTCAAAGGTACCGGTATTAATATTAATATGTTAATATGTACCCTTGCCAACGCCTTTGACACCCGTGCTACGTGACTGCCCCAGTCACATACAGCATTGCATTTGCCAGCCGGCTTGTTAAATACATCGCGGCTGCATTCGCGAATTTCCTCTTGCGTCTGCTGAGAAGCGAGTAGAGAGATGTGATGGAGGACACTTGTCGACGCTACGTTGACCCTGGCCTTGTGCGTTCGTGCTAAATACATCGCTGCAACACTAGTGGATGGAGTCAAGAAGACTTGATTTTGGCATAGCGTTGTATTTTATGCACGCGCGATCGCTGTCGGGACGAGGACACCGACCCACTGGCCTGGGCCATCGAGAAACGCGTCGTCCGGGTGGGGATCCATGATCGGCTCGAACGCTTGCCCGGACGCTTCGACGCGCGCCACGACCACGTGACCAAAGTCGCCACGTGGCGACTTGCCCCGCAGCACCACCGCGCTACCTGGTTGTAGAAGGCTCGTGTCGGCGGGCACGGAGCCATCGGCGGCCAAGTTGATCTTCTCAAAGGTCAAGCCCTGCGGCGCCAGGTAGCGGTTGATGGCGGGCATGTAGCCGGAAGGGTCCAAAATGAAGTTAGGCACCGCGTCCAGCTCGACGCCTCGCAATGATGCGATGCACGCTTGGAGCGAGTTGCCCTTCGCCGCCGTGAAGTCGGTCTGGCGCACTTGTCGGACGGTCGCCATCGTGAGAATTGTTGTAAAATGGTGTAATAGTGTTACATTTGGTGGCTGGAGAGACCTCGCGATATTCATTGTAACGTAGCATGCTTTGCTGGGCATCAAGTGGACGATTAAATTGGATCCATCTTGCCTAGCGTCGCACGACGCGTACTGCTGCTGAGTCGGCGGCGGTGTTGACAGCACGGTTTGTTTCCAAGAAGGTTTTAATAGTGTACAACACCTTAAATTTGGTACATGTGGCGTCTTCCCTCTTAATTCAGGCATAGGATGCGCGATTGGCCCATTTTATGAAATGGATGGCTTTTTGGCCAATGGCCTCTCGGGGCAAGCATTCCCGTCGACGTCGTATCTTTCGCCAGAATCTGTTTTCACCTGTGGCTGCCATGCTCCTCAAGCTCTGCCTCCCGCTGCTGCTCGCCGCCGCCGTCGCCGCCGAGCACTGGGCCGTCATCGTCGTCGGCTCCACCGGCTACTGGAACTACCGCCACCAGGCCGATGCGTGTACGTTCTTTAGCGACGCTTGCACGCCATGCCGACTGCGCATGCGTAGGTCATGCGTACCAGGTCGTGCGCGGCCATGGCATTCCCGCGTCCAACATTGTGCTTATGATGTATGATGACGTGGCCAACAGCTCGAGCAACCCGTTCCCGGGTCAGCTCTTCAACCGGCCGACCTTGCGCCACAGCGACGCCGTCGACGTGTACAAGGGCTGCCACGTCGACTACCGCGGCGACGACGTACATGTCTACCGTCTCCAAGCATGCGCATGACAATATGCTATGTAGGTCACGCCCAAGAAGTTCTTGCAGGTGCTTCTCGGCGACGCATCGGCCGGTGGCAAGGTGCTCAAGAGCACTGCAAACGACCGCGTGTTTGTCAACTTTGTCGATCACGGCGCGGCCGGCATGGTTGTCTTTCCCAACGCCAACCTGTACGCCCACGACCTTGTCGAGACGCTCAAGACCATGCACGAACGCAAGCTCTACAAGGAGCTCGTCTTTTACATGGAAGGTAGTCTCCTCTCGATGCAAAAGCGAGGCGCCTACCGGTCTGTGTAGCGTGCGAGTCAGGGTCCATGTTCAAGGACCTGCTTCCGACCGACATTGACGCGTACGTGACAACGGCGGCCAACGAGAAGGAGTCGTCGTGGGGCACGTACTGCCCGCCGACGTCCGACCACATTGGCACCAAGCTGCTCGGAACGTGCCTCGGCGACCTCTACTCGGTCAACTGGATGGAAGACAGCGACAAGAGCGACTTGGCCAAGGAGACGCTGGGCGAGCAGTACGCACGCGTCAAGAAGCTCACGGACAAGAGCCATGTGCTCGAGTTTGGCTCGCCTACCATCCGCGAAGAGCCCGTTGGGGACTTTCAGTCCAACGAAGACCACGACCACATCGGACCGTTGCAAGTCGAAGCAGCGGCAACAACGACGAACGACGTTCCGTCCTCGAGCGTTGCAGCCCACGACATTGAGCTCGTGACCAAGTTTTACCAGTACTTGCGCGCGGACGTTGGCACGCGTGGACCGTTCGCCGCCGCTTTGCTCGCGACGCTCCACGAGCGCGAACTCGCGGACCGCGTCTTTGGCGACATTGTCCGCTTGACCACGCAGTCGGCGCCAACGCTCTCGATGACGCGCGACGACGCGTGCCTCCGCGACGTCAACACGGTCGTCGAAGCGCACTGCGGCCGGTTCTCGGACTACAGCCTCCAGTTTGTGGCCCGCCTCTCGGCGCTCTGCGCGCAAGGGTACGCGCCCGGCGTCATTGGCGCCCAGGCCGTCGCTGCCTGCAAGCGCCACAAGAGCCGCGTGTTTGACCCGAGCCTCTTGCACCCGTAAGCAGCCGCGTAGTATTAGTGTTGCTGCTGTTGAATCCGACACTCGGCTGGTGCGACATGGAGCGCTTGGGGTTAGGGCAAGTGATGGCGTCACGCTGGAGCACCGCTTTGAGCGTTGGGGGTTGGTCCAGACGCTTGGAACGTACTACAGGACCTCGCACGAGGTAAGTCAGCCGGCGAGTCCTACGGCGAGTCCTAGCAGGCTGGATGTCGGTATGGCCGAAGCAACCGGATATGGGTACCCTATCCGGACATAGACATATATGAGAGCGAATTTTAGCCAATCGAAACGCGCAGAACCAAAGACCACAGAAGCAAGGATGGCCGACGCCCTGGACCACGTCCGAGCTGCCGTGATCGCGAACCGCCCGATCGAGGTCGAGGGCAGCGACGTGGTCTTCTGCACGATTGACACGGAGACCGGCGCCAAGTCGGTGGCGAGCCGGCTGCCTGGCGACACGCCGACGGCCTTTCACTCGAAGGCCACGAAGAAGAGCTACGACCTCCTCGCCGTCGTCACGTGCGTGCAGTACGCCGATCTGACGTTCGCCGAATACCTGCCCAAGTGCCGAGCGATCTCGGCCAGCCTCGTCTCGACCGTCGACAAGAAAGAGCTCATCGCGTACCTCAAGGGCGACATTGACAGCTCTGTGCAGGTGTACGAGCCAACGACCGCGCCCAAACGCAAGGCTGTTGACGAGGCGCCGTCCGCGCCCGACGTCAAGGTGTCAACCGACGCCATGCAGGGCTCGCCCAAGAAGAAGGCCAAGGAGACGCCTGTCCAGAACGCCCAGGACGAAGCGCTCAAGCGCATTCTCGCGAGAGAGTACACGCACCGCGACCGGACGACCATGATGACGACGCCCAAGGTAGCGTCTCCTTCGAGCACGCGACTCGTTCTATACGCCTGTCCTAGTCGTTTGAGAACGTGCTGACGATTTTCGAGACGCTCCTCAAGGAAGAGAAGGACAAGATGGACAAGTCGAGCGGGAAGCCGTCGCTGCTCATGCACCAAGTGAAGCAAGTGCTGCCGCTCAAGGTCGCGATGAAGAACAAGATCCCAGGTAGACGACCAACCACGCTCTGTCCTTCCAGCCATGGGCGGTTGTAGACATTCCGATCATTGTCGTCCCGGCTGGCGTCTCGGACTTGATCAACTTGCTCAACGCCAAGGACTTTCTCGAAGATGGCGCGTACGTTGGCATCTCGACTGCACGTCCATCACGATCTACCTAGGTACATTACGACCGCCCAGAAGAAGGCCGAGGGCTGCCGCAAGTCGGCGTCGATTCTCATTAACTACACGGACAACGAGGAAACGCACCAGTTTCGCATCGTCGACTCGGTCGCGCGCCTCAACGACAAGGAATGGTACGTTGTTCGAGTGCTGTCGTTATAGACGTCGACGGTTCCGTGCAGGAAGAGCATTGTCGGGGTCATTGTCTCGGGCCAAACGTGGCAGTTCAAGGACTGGAAGTGGAACTTTCCGATGGAAGCGAGGTACGAGCGATCATCGTTATCATCATCAATCGTAAATGCAACCATATGCATCTGCCTAGCCTGTGGCATCCACATCTACTCGCACGGCACGACGCTCAACGAAGAAATCAAAAAATGGGACGTCAAAATCCTCATGATCCACCCGCACAAGCGCCACTTGGACAAGGTGGCGGCGCGCGAGTTTTGGGCCCACCTCTTCGCACACATCAAGCACCGTGTCATGACCTAGTCGTCGTTTTACACACCATTATTGTCTTCAATACACAGGCCGCCATGATGCACGTGTGTCTTACTCGTCCTGGATGCCACCGAGCCAAGAGTCTTCAATACACAGGCCGTCATGATGCTCTCTCTCGTCCTACCGAGCTCACTGCATGCACAATACTTAATTTTGGTGGTCTTCCTTAACCCTCGAGCCAGCCTCGAAGGGTGAAGCGCGTAATCAAAGGGTTGCCATTACATATCTTGCACGAGAGCAACCTCCACGAGGCTGGACCACGTCCACGACGTACCCAAGGTCGTCCGATTTCCAACTGAAAGTGATGCAAGGGTGCATCAAGAGTCGTTATGCCTGCAACCGGCCGCCTGTCTAAAAATACGCGCCAAACCGCCGGCTACTCAGTGGCGGAAATCTCGCAAACGGGCACTCGATGGCGCTGGTCGTGTCCAAGTCGAGCAAGGTCGCCAACAAGGTGAGCCCGGAGCTCCAGAAGATGCTGCAGCCGACGGCCGCGCGTCAAGAGCGCGTGCTCCACGCCCTCGACAGCCGCAACGCCAACATCGTGCTCGGGATCATGACCATGTTTACGCTCTTCGCCGACGACATGCGGGTCGCGGGCTTCACCAAGTCGGCCGACGAGACGTTTTACGTCCTCGAACTCATCTGCTTTGCGTGCTTTGCCATCGAGTGGGCCGGCAACGTCTACGCGCGGCCCGACTACGTGCACAAGGGCCTCGGCTTTACGTTTTGGATGGATCTGATTGCGACGCTCTCGATCCTCGCGGACGTGGGCTGGGTCATGGAAGCGCTCACGGGCGGCGCGACCTCCAACAGCGTCGCGTCGCTCCAAGCGAGCCGCGCGTCGCGCGCCGGTACCAAAGCCGGTCGTCTCGTCAAGCTCATCCGGCTGATTCGACTTGTGCGCATCTCGCGCATCTTCCGCACCAAAACCGCCGACACGGCCAAGGCCATCAAGCTCAACGAACCGAGCAAGGTCGGCAAGATCCTCACGGAGCTCACAACGCGCCGGCTCATCGTGCTCGTGCTCGTCATGGTCGTGCTCTTGCCAGTGATTGACCAAACGCTCACGACGACCGACCAGTACCAGACGAGCGCCTTGTACCAGATGCACCGCATGGTGCAAGACTACAACTCGACGGGCTTGATCACGCTGCCCGACATGCAAGCGCTCTTTGACAGCTACGTGCGCAACTGCAACGGTATCATTTTGGACATGATCATCTACGGCATCGACAAGAACATCACCAACCAATGGCTCCAGAATGTGCGCTTCCAGAGCTACTCGGGCTCGGCGTGGGTCGCGTCGTCGCCCTTCTCGGCGACCACGAACCCGATCTCGGGCTGGTCGGCGTCGTACCTGACGACAGAATTTGTCGGCTTTCGCTCCGCGGATATCAACCTGATCTCGTACTTTGACTGCGTCGACAAACGAGGCGTCGTGGTCGACAACAGCACGTGCTTCTCCGCGGTCGTGTTTTACACCGCCAAGTCGAACGCGTCCGACTCGGAGCTCGCGATTCTCAAGACGTGGATCATCATCTTCCTCTTTGGCGGCAGCATCTTTTTCTTCACGCGGGACGCCGACATGCTCGTGATTGGCCCAATCGAGCGCATGGTGCGATCTTATCGCATGCATTCGTGCGAAGAGTGTGTGTAGATGGAGCTCGTGAACCGATTGGCCAAGAACCCGCTCGGCAACACGGACATTGAAGAAGACGCGTCGCAAGAGTACGAGACGCGCATGTTGGAAAAGACCATTTGTAAAATCGGTCGGCTCCTCCAAGTCGGGTTTGGCTCGGCGGGAACTGAGATCATTTCGAAAACATGGGCGGCACGGGCGAACTCAACGTCATGATTCCAGGTCCGTGGCATATTGGACAAAGTTTGTCCAATATAGAGATGGTGTGCGTAGGCAAGAAGATTTCGTCCATCTTTGGCTTTGGCATCATCGAGCACTTTACCGAAACGTGCAGCATCCTCGAAGAGAGCGTCATCACGTACATCAACACGCTCGCCGACATTGTGCACACGGACGCCAACATCTACTACGGCGCGGCCAACAAGAACATTGGCTCGGCGTTTTTGCTGGCGTGGAAGATCTGCGACGGGTCCCTCCCTGGCATGCGCGACCCGCGCGACGCAGCGTCCAAGCCCATCATGAGTGCGTCCGAGAAGGCGGAGAAGCGCGCAGGCATCGCTGTCCAGCTCTGTGCCTCGGGCTTTGCGCCGCGCGCGATCACGCCGCAGGAGCTCGTCGACTCGGCGCTCATGGCCGTGCTTAAAATGCGCATCGACATCCACGCGGCCAACGAACCCGGCGGTCGGTTCGAGTTGTACCTCTCAAATCCCAAGCTCCAGGCCAAGTTTGGCGAACACTTTGGCGTGCACATGGGCTTCGGCCTCCACATTGGGTGGGCCATCGAAGGCGCGATTGGCTCCAAGTACAAAATCGACGCGTCGTACCTCTCGCCCAATGTCAACATGGCGGCGCGCCTCGAGAACGCGACCGGGCAATTCCAAGTCCCGATGCTTATTAGCGAGTGGTTCATGGACGAGCTAAGTCCATTTGCCAAGACCCATTGCCGCAAGATCGACCGCGTGACCGTCAAAGGCAGTGAGATTCCCATGGACCTCTGGACGTTTGATATTGGCAACTACTCGATCGACTGCGACCCGATCGTTGATCCCAACGGGGTTCAGATGCCCCTCGACTATGAGAAAAACGACATTTTGCCGCGGCTCCAAGAAGGCATTCCGCGCGCGTTCTTCTCGACCTTTAAGGAAGGCATGCAAGCGTACCTTGACGGCGACTGGGCCAAGGCCCATGCGCTGCTGAGTACGGCGTACGAGACGTACCGTGATGGCCCCACGAACGTGCTCTTGACGATCTTGCGAACCGAGTCGGCCGACCCCAATGGGTATGCATGCCCGACGTGGTGGAAAGGGTTTCGGCCCTTGACCGAAAAGTAGTTTGCGTAGTGCATTTGATAGAGCGTAGGCGCGTACGTTGTGAATATACAGTTATACATCTTGCGTTTCGTCGAGTTTCTTGCGTTTCTTCGGGTCGCGGTGACGGGCCATGCCCATCTCGACGTACTCGCGCGCGAGACGCTTGAGGACGTCGTGCTGCGACAGGTGCGGGTCGCTGCACCCTTTCTACAAGAAGAGCATACTAAAATGACATACGGTCGAGCTACGGTGGAAAACTACCACTGTGCACTTGTTGGCGAGTGCTTTGGGGCAGTAGGGAAACCTGATTTTGCGCGCCGGCAGCTCTCTCTTGAACTGTGTTTGGATAACGGGCTGGATCATGTAGAGCTGCGGCCGCTGCGGGTCGCGGCGCAGATGGACAAAGGCACAGCGGTAGCCTACCCACCATCATCGTACACGACGACGACATGAACAAGGGTACCTTTGGCGAGACGCGCGCATGTCCCGTTGGTCTCAAAGTAGCTCTTGCAGTAGGTCGGAAGCGCAAATGTATACTGGATCTGACCGGGCTCGCGCCACTCGGGCAGCACCGAGTCCAAGAGCGTGCGATCCCAGCGCCCGGCCTTCTCCATGAGGTCCGGGAGACGCAACGTGGCTTCGTCGCTCTTGTCGTCGTCGTCCGTCGTGGCATTGTAGACGTGGATGCCGTTGTACGACGGGTCATACGAGAGGAGGTACTCGCCCGGCGGCAACTCGCCCATGTGCGCAATGACTTCTTGCACCATGACAAACTTGGCCAACGGACTATTGTCACCATGGATAGAGCACAAGCCATATTTTGCAACGTACTTTTCCACGGACGACGCCACGGACGTGATCGTCTTGTCCGAGACGTCGAGGACCTTGGCGCCATTGGCATGCATGCGACCTACTTGCGCAATTGCATGTTGCCATCATAAGACATCAAGGTAGTACCCACGACAATGCCGGCGTTGCCTCGGATCCACGACTGCAGCCACCACCGCGCACGCTCCGACTCTGTAATTCTCTCAGGCGTCGAGCACCACTCGTAGTCGACCTTGGCTTGGATCGCCACGTCGACATTCTTCTCCTACAGCATAGAGTATATCGTTGGCGGTCGATGCTGCATTGCAAGAGAGGTACCGGGTCAAAGCCATGGGTTTGCGTTCGGAGCAGCATCTTCTTGGACCCGACCGACCACGTGTGGTAGCTGTACACACGCGAGGACGATGTCTCGGTCATCGCCGCCTTGAGGCGCTTGCGCGCGAAGAGCGTGAGCTTCTTGCGCCCGCTCCAGACCGCGTTGACGAGCGGCTTGTCAAAGACCACCTACGTCACGTGCGTCGATGATACCAGCCCGCGAAAAGCAAAGCTACGTGTTTCTTCTTGGGACCAGCGCGCACGACGACCGGAATGATCCATTCCTACAGAGGTTGATGGACGCGCCCGCACGCATGCCTACCTGGCGGAACCGGTCGGGGGTCATGTCAAAGAGCATTGTGAGCGTCGAGGTCGCCATGGCGACGTCGCAGTCTTCCTGTGCGATGAGCTCGTCGGCCTTGGTGTCTTTGGAAAGCACACACCCCGTCGTCCACGCGATCGGTGCGTCCAGCGTCGTTAAAGGGCTCGGCAATGGACGCTTGAGTGCCGGCTTGGCCGTGGCGCGCGCAACGCGGGCAATGTGCTTGGGCGGCGAGTGCGTCGGCGGCATCGACGGGAACGAGATGATGCTGACGCGCGAGTACGCGGCAGGGTACATGGCGGCGGCGTCGGCGCAGCGCTTACGCAAGAACGCGTCGACGGCCGTCTCGACGCCCTCGGGCAGCGCCGTCAAGACAAAGAGATCGGCCTTGGCGAGGGTGTCAAAGCTCTTGTGAAAGTTGCGCTAATTGCACCGCGTCAGCCGCAGCTCGCAGGAGACGACGACTACCTGCTCTGTCTTGACGGTCTGGTGGATGCGGTTGAAGACGTCGTGCTCGTCGGACGAGAGCGCGAGGAGGTCCGGGAACCCTCGCTGGAGTGTGCATGAGCCACTGCACGTCGGGTCTGCCATACATTACCTTCATCGCAGCCGTTTTCTTCTGCTGCAAGTCCAGGTACGTGACATGCTCTGCCGCCAAGAGACTCGTCTTGTGGGGAATGCAGGACCTCGTCGAGGCTCGAGGTCGGGGTCTCGGGCAGCGGCGCTCGAGCGTCGACGTCGACCTTGGTGGCCTTGGTCGCTAGCTTCATCTTCTGGGCCAAGGCCTCGAAGATGGTTCCATGCGGCGAGTAGTAGTCGTACTCGTCCTCCGTGATCCATGTGGCGCCGCTCCTCGGGGCCGGGACGTTCATGCTCGGTCGTCGATCTTCGTGTCCAGTTTCCCACGGCCAACAATGCATTTACCACCATATTTTCACATCAGACTATTTTGATGCTACCATATCAACACTATTCCGCGGTGATTAAAAGGGGCCAAATCGTGTTGTATGCGACGGATGTAGTGTTAATAATAGTGCATCACAAGCAGCAAGACCGACGCGGCGGCGTAAAAGCAGAAGATGGTGAACCCGCGATTCTCGCCATAGTCGTACGCCTTGGCGAGCGATTTGTTGCCCTAATGCCCGCCGTGTCAGCTCGACGACGGGTCTCAATGTATCAGGTGTGACCTGGACGACGTTGGTTGACGTCGTATCGGCATTCTCGGCGATCTTCTCGAGGTCGCCATGCTGCGCTTCAATGTTGTCCGAGAAGTGGCCCATGATGCGCGAGATCTCGTGCATGCTCGCCTCGAGCCGCCTACGCCATGTTGAGATACTGCACACAACAGTTAGGAATGTCTACTTGGCAGCTTCGATCTCTTCATGCAAATGCTTGTGCAGCTGGATATTCTCGGCTCGGAACTGCTCTGTTTCGTCCTCGGTAAATGCCCACGACGACGACTTTTCATTCGCGTCGTGTCGGACCTACATCAGAAATGAATCGGCTTCGGGGCGAAGCGCTCAATGGGCCACGCGCTTACAGAGGGTAAGGCGCGGGGCTGGTCTTGGACGGGCGTCGCAATGGGTGACGCGGTTGACTTTGGCTTGGCTTCCGGTGCGTGTAGCTCGGTCGAGTCGGGCAAGAATCTAGAAGTACGATGCACCGTTGTTACCAGTGAAGAAAGCAGCATGCGTACCGCTGCGACGCAAAGAAGGGTCGTGTAATGCGCTGCTTCCGCGCCGCTTGGACAATCTGCGCCGACCGCTTGACGCGCTAGGCTCCTGGCGTAAGACCTCTGCGGCCATCACATAGCAACGTACGTCTGAGAGGTACGCGACCATCTCCATCTGCATGCGCGTCGTCTGTGGCTTCTTGGACCGGCCGACCTGAATGTTGTCTTTGAGCTGTTCGATTTGCAGCTCGCACGCTTGGTACGACTCGAGCACCGACTGCGCACCCATGAGAACCGACACGCGCAAGTCGGCGTATGTACCTCCTCAAGCTCTTCGCGCTCCACGTCGCTAAAGGCGGCGGCCTTGCTCGGCAGGAAGCGGGCAGGGTCCACGTAGCACTTGCGCTGGCTGCGCAGAAGCGTCGAGATCTTGCGGAGGCTCTCTAGCTGCACATGGCATGAGCCTCGCCTGCATCGACCGAGGCTGGCGCACCACATCGATGGCCTCCTGCATGAAGTCCGAGACCGGCTTGGCCTCGGTCGGCGCGTCCGTCCATCGCGCGAGCTTGCGGAAGTCGGTCGTAATGTCCATCGTCAAGCTGAAGTCCACGCGTCCTCCGGGATTTGAAGTGCCGGAGTTGCGCGAGTATAGATTTAATTCTATACAAAAGGGAAGTTGTGATAAAACGCAGTTTAAAATTTGTTCGACGCCCCGGATTGGCTACATTGGCAAACGTCGAAGAGCTGGCATTTCCGATCTGACCTCGTGGCAGCCTCTCGGCACAGGATGCGATTGTGGGTGCTGCTGTGGCTCTGCCTGTGCACCGGTACTGTGGCGCTCGGCCTTGACGTCGACGGCTGGTTTAGCTGCAGCGCCAACACACTAACATCGACCAACACGCGGCGAAACACTCGAAACCGCACGGTCGAGTGCGCCCTCGTCGTCCTTCCGCTGTGCCACGCCAGCGTCTGCGATGACCCATCCAACCGAACGGTTCAAGTCTTCATGAAGCGTTTGGTGGCGCGCTCTGATTTCGTGGAAGAGCCATCGATCAAAGACTTGTGGGTTCTCCAGGGTGGCCCTGGTGCATCGTCGATCGCAAGTCTGTCCTCAACAAAACATGTGTGGTTCATGGCCTCATGATCGCGTTCATAGTGGAGACCATGATGATCGACCTCTACGACGTCCTTGACGGCCAAGTCAACGTGTACACGATGGACCATCGAGGCACGGGGCGAAGCTCTCCGCTGCAATGCATCGCCACTCAGGCCGCGACGCCCGGCAGTCCCGGCGGTGACGTGATCGAACTCGCCGAAATGCCCGACTGCATCCAAGATATACTGTTCCAAATCGGTATCTCCTCTTTCGCCATATCTCACAAGCCCTCTTAGCGATTGCGTAGACGGTCACACGAGTGCCTTCTCTGTCACAAGTGCTGCGCTCGATCTCGAGGTAGTACACGCCGTGTTCGTATGCATACCCATCAGCGGTGTCGATAGCTCGTGCTTCGCGCCTTCTCGGTGGCGAATCAACCCACCTTTGTGTACGGTGCCAGCTACGGCACGCTCCTCGTCGAACGACTCATGCAACTGGGTCCTACCGGTATCACCGGGTTCGTCTTGGATGGCGTCGTCTCGCAGCGTGGCAGTGATGCGTTCCGGCATTCGTTCGCCAACTGGGACCATGACGTGGCAAGCGTTGGTGCGTCACCGTTTCACTCTGATGACGTTTCTTATTGCGGTCGTAGGCTCTCGGTTTCTCGATCGATGCACGACCGACGCCTTTTGCAAGGCCCAAGTGCAGCAACACAACGTCACGCAGCTGCTACAAGAAGTCTACAGCCGACTCGACGCCTCCGTCGTCACCAATACGTCCTTGGACACATTGCTGCCGTCGCACCACCTCCGGACCGTCGTGTCCAAAATGCTGCTCAACTGGGAACTCCGGCAGCTCTTGCCAGCGCTCATCTATCGCCTGTGGCGTGCTGAAAGCATCGACCTTGTCGCTCTGATGCAGTTCAAAACGTCCAGCAATCTGTGGCAAATGGCCGACGTCGGGTCCTCGTTCAATGGCTTTTCCATGATGCTCTACTACCTGATTGTTTTCTCCGAAGAGTGGGCTTACCCGACACCATCAACATCGACGCTAGACGCGACGTACGCGCGCGGTCTCTTTGGGACGGGTGTCTCGGGCCTTGTCCCCTTTTACTGCCTCATGACGCAGTACAAGGACGAAGCGTGTCGAACAATATCGCCGCAATATTCTCTCAAAGCACCGTTCGTGTACCCCCGCGAC